AGTGCAGGTAAGGACGCTGATGGATTCCAAAAAATCAGTTTGACCAACTTCTTCCTAATAGAGTGAATTTCGACGTATTCTTTATCCTCACAAGAAATACTGCTTCTCTTATGTTTGCCTTTAATGAAAATTAAAACAGAAGGACGCAAAAGGAAAACGAAGTGCAGCATGTGACAAAAAAATGGTGTATTGAAGAAAGAAATTTTTTTTCTTTTTTTTTAATGTGTGACGAGACTCACAGATGTGCATAATTACCACTTGGCAGAGAACGGAATACAATTGGCTATAAGCGACCCCATTTATGGGAGATGAGCGAATTTGCTGACAAAATTTTTGAAAAATCTACTGGCTAAATTCTTTTTAAACAAGCACAGAGTTATGTTAATTGTTAAAATGATAGAAAACTCATGTATTCTGTAATTGCCATAGAAGTCATTCGAACCAAACGAAAATGAAAGTTTTTTTAATTAATTAGAAGCTGCGAGAAAGCCTACGTGATTTGAATCGGTAAAGGATTTACGACAAAGGGAATAGAAATCTTCCATAATGAAAATACATTAAGGATTAAAATTTAAATACGTAATTAAACTTGCGCAAAGAGGAAAAAATGCAAGAAAAATTTCATTAAAATTGAATTACGAAACGCCTTAAGGAAGCGTGCAGTCCTTCAGTGAGCTTATAATTACCGAGTTCCTCCAGATAAACTTTTCAAGTCAAAATTTAATAAATAAGAAAATTAATCAAGTTTATGGAGTACGCGCAAGTCGGTAGAGACATTGAAGCTTTGTATTTTATCGGCTTGGTGTCTATGTAAATTCAATTGGTTTTATTTGTAAATTTAATTAGTAGGCACGAGAAGCCCAATGAGCGATTCGGGAAATTAAATTGAAACTGTTCTCCAAACGATTGTTGTGCCATTGATTATATTGTCAATGCAAACCATCTTTGCAGAATAAAATGAGACAAAATTAGCACAAATTTTCTTGTACCATATAACTTCATCAATATTAAAATTGTTTGCGTTTTTACCCGGAGGTCGCCAAAACTCAAGGGCTGTGTGTAGATTCTAAAACTGACAAAGGGTCAATAAGGATGTATGTTTTAAACAAATTGGATAATAAGAGTAGTGGAAGGCCTAGACTGGAAGAGATGTAAAACATATATTTACAATGGTTTTTTTAAAATATGGGTTGCGAATGTCACTTTGTGTCAATCAAAGTACTTATACACGAAGATCCTTTACACAACTAGTTTTCTCTAAACCCGATCCTTCGCTCGACAAATACAACGAATTCAATCGGCTTTTGAAAAAAAGGGGTAACTTAATTACAAGGCCCCATTTAGAAAGAGACATTAATTAATCAATACAAAGAGATACTAATCCGGGAACAATTTTAGAAAGAAATTGCAGTAGTAGTGAAAAGATCGTCTGACCTATGTAATAAATAACGTTTTTTCACCGAACTTTCAATTTTAAAGAAAATCTCGAAATCGAAGGGAGCTGTTTTCCCCCAGATCCAATTTTTTGTTTTCTCTAGATTAAGTCCGAGGCACCACCTCTATTAGAAGAGTAATATCAAGAGTGCATTGTATGAAAAAACCCTCATCTCCAAAGGATATTCTAGAGGTGTTACTGCCCATTTTTCGTTATATAAAAAATAAAAGATTCATGCTAGAGAAATTTTATTCATATGAATGGGTTTACCTTTTGGTAGTCCTAACAAACGTATTTTTGTGTTCCGTAAGAGTACTCGAAACAATTAATAGAAAACGTGGCCTCGAAGTAGGACGTAGGTTATAAATTGTGGAAAAGTGCCAAATGAAGTGTAAATTGGATTGGAAAAAGAAATTTTCAGTTCGGATTTTCACGAGGTAATGAAGAAGGAAAAATATTCAGCAATAACTAGCCGAGGACCAATTAATTTTTCAAACAGGAAAACATGAAATGTTACCATATTGTACTCAGATTGTTTAAACTATGAAAAGGATGGTCAAACACTTTTTAAGGAAATTCGACCTTATCCAGTTGCTTCCCCTTGATCTTAGAAGAAACTAAAAAAATACATTAAATGTACTCCGCATGGGATACGAATAAATTACCATTTAAGAATAATGTAACGCAGGTAAAACGAAGCAAAACACACAAGCGACAATTCGATTAGGCAAATAAAAAATTCATGGCACGGATTAAGGCATGAGAGTACTATCGCGCTTAACTAAAATATTAATTGGCAGGAATTTGTGTGCATGGCCTTTTGTGAATTCAGAATTTCTCTCTTAATAGCATACATGGCTTACACACACAAATTGGGGGATTAGCTCTTCGAGTGTGCACGATTAGTAGGATAATGTGCAAGTTAAATAAGGTAGCGTGCCTCTACGATTGTTGACGCTCATTTATGCTAATACTGATGCATAGACAAAGCTGTTTAACGAATGGATCAAACTTATTTTTTTAGAAAAGGAGCTTTTAAAATGTATATTCGCGTAGGTATATATTGTGGAAAGCAGAAAAGCGTAATAGAAAAGTCGACATATCT